TAAAAATATAAGAATTGTTCAAAATTTGTGTCACTTTAACAAAATGATCCTTCTGGAGATACAAATAATTATTTTATTAGCTCCCACTCATTCTGTTTAAGTAGGAAGGACTCTAAAAAGTAGAAATACTGTTTAAGATGCTTTTCAAGATATTTGAGGTAAAATAAATTTACAGAAAGGTTTGAAGTACATTTAATGCTTTAGACGGGAGCACAAAAATGGCAGCGCAAAGCAGAAGCTGTAGATGCAACAAACCTTTTTTGTACAGTGTAACATTTTCTACCAAGCTTTTTATTTAATGAAATCACAGATTTTTAAATAAATTTAGTAACATGATTTAAACCAGGGTCATCATGTGATCTACTTTTAAAACGACCAAGTCAAAGTGATCTACCTACTAGAAGGCACCGTTTATACGAGAACAACATCTGGATATGTTAGTGTTTCTTCAATGTTTATTGGGGGGTATAAACAAAAAATGAGCAGGTTTACATGAAAAGGCCAGGTTGCCAGATAAGAATTTATGAACTACAGTACTGTCACTTTAAAATGATAGTATTTTGACATAAACTGTCATATGTGCTGAGATGATGTGTGTGTTGTTTTTGTTGAACATGTGCACAGAAAAGGGGGCCCTGTCAATCAAGTGACAAATTTCATAGCAAGGATGGACAATAGGCTGATGTCTATTTTTTAATGCCATGCGATCTACTCATAATACCTTTGTGATCGACCGGTAGATCGCGATCGACGTACCGGGCACCCCTGATTTAAACACTGAGCTGCTGTAGGACTTACTGCTTTTATTTCTGGCTTTTTTTTTTATTATGTTACGATGCATATCAGTTAATAGGAAAGTGGTTTCTGTCATCTGATTAATGTCTGGAATACAATCCTAAATCCAGAAAAAATAAAGAGGTGTCTTAGATGCAAAGCAGGAGCAAAACTGAGAGCAAAGAGAGGAAAATGTAAATTATTTCCTTCCTAATAGTCAAAAGTTTGGCTTTCGCAAATATATTTTTTTAATATAAAGGAAGCAGCAAAGTTCGAGGCCATCCAACACGAGGTGTAACTTGCTCTTTGAGCCATTCCACATTTATTGAACCACAATAACTCAGCTCCTCGCACAGAGCATCTTCTCATTAAACAAACCAAATGAGACCACTGCAACCCTGATGACCACTTTTATGCCGCTCAACTTTTTACAATATCAGCTTCCTCTCATGCTTTTTGTTTCACTCTAAGAATTTTCCAGATCACTTTGTTCAGGTCCTTCACTCTCCATCACAAACTAATCTGAGCATGTCAGAAACCTGAGGAGCTGGAGTCTGAACCAAACATTTTTATGGCTCTACAAGCAAAGGACCGATAATCCTGTCTGACCTGAGGGTTTGAAGCTTCCTTCAGGGTCAACGTTTGCTCTAAATGCATCAGAAGTGCAGGGAGGGACATGTAGGGAGATAAGAGGGACATGAGCGAGACTCAAACCATTTCAGAGCTCCAGGTTTCCTCTCATCCTTAATCTTTCTTGCCTGTGCACTGAGGTTATTATTGTTCTTCACATCAAATCTTATTTAACCTCTTTTTAAGTGAACTGAAAGATTTTAGGGAATTGAAATCTACTTCAAAATAAAATAAAGAGCCATTTTTTTTCCTTTTCAGACATTTCTCCTCTCGATCTACTCCACACCGCCACTGTCCGTGACAACACAAATGTTATTAGATGTACAGTAACAACAAAAGCCCAAGTGAAATGGCCTTCAGGTTACAGCTGATCCCATCTGGCCTGCCTGTCTGACCCGAGCAGACTCTTCTGTTGGAGCCGTCACCCTCTCTTCCTCCTTCCTTTTTAGCTGCCCAGGCTTTTGTTGCCGCTTCGCAAAAAGCAGGTCTGCTTGAGATGAAAACGTGAGAGAGGACTGTAAAGTGATGAAAGCGGGGGCGGGACTGTCAGAAGGCAGAGAGTAAATATCAAAGGCCAACATGTCGGGTTAAAACTGAAGCATCAGATGAATGAAGCCGAGCATGAATGCAAATCTGTGACTTTAAATTATAAATTAAAACAAGTCCACTTCACCTCACCACAGACTGAAAAATCCTCATACAGGTTTAATACACACAAACAAAAACATAAAACAACACGATCATTTTGACAGCTCAGACAGCACAATCAAATAGACAAATGCTTCTGCTCTTCACCAGAAGGAAAAAGAAGCACCGGGTTGCAGCCAACTGTGAAGCTAAATTACAGAGAGTGTGCTACCAAGTGCAGCACAGGAAAGAAAACATATATGAACGTCTAAGTTTGACATTAAGCTGCCACTGAGCCCTGACCAGAGAGCTAATGATCGTCTTTCACTGAGTTTGGATCAGTTTAACACTCACTTTATGCAGGATGCAATTTGTACCCTCGCAGATACAAGAACTTAGCTGCCGAGAAAAGTAATTATGGTGACAACTGCAGATGTTCAATAAATTTTAAAAAATTGTTCATTGACATTTAGACAGAAAAAGATTAATGTTGATTTTAAGAAGGCAGAAAGAACACACATATAAGAACGATTACAGGTAATAGAAACTCACCCAGTTCATGAATACGATCGGGTTCAAAAACTATCCTCCATGAGGAGTTCATTAACACTGGTGTGGATCCTAACCAGAGAAATTGCATTTCCTGCAAAAATGCAGCGTGAATGCTTATTGCTGAAGAATTTGCTGAAAAAACAGCTGAAATGAGCAAAAAACTTCCTAAAATATAGCTGAAATGAACATTTCAGATGGATGGATGGAATGCACCTTGAGCGGCGCAATTCTAGAATTGCGCCGCTCAAGGTGGCTGCATGTTGGAGCAGCTCTGTTACTTTCATTTTGAGATTTTGCTTTTGGAAACTTTATTTCCTCTTTTTCTGGATGTAAATCACATTTTTTGGATGATTGTTTCCTCTGGTATCAGATGCTGTGCAGCTGGAAGGATTTTTACTGAAACTTTTTTAGTTTTGGACATTTGTTATGATGCATAACTATGGCAACAAGGCTGTTTTCTACAACCAACAGCAGCTGATTAACATCTCAAAAGCTCAAATAATATCTCAACCACAGCCCCAAATCTCAAGTGAGTTGAAAAGTATGTTCTGTGGATGCATTCTCATCTACCTGCCAGCTGTGCTCAAGTGCCTGACCACTGAGATCCTGGAACTAGCAGGCAACACGGCTTGTGACAGCGGAAGAACAGGATCGTCCCTCGGCACCTACAGTTGGCTGTCCGCAGTGACGAGGAGCTCGGCAGACTGCTGGGAGGAGTGGCCATTGCTCTGGGAGGAGTTCTGCCCAGCATTTGGGCGGTCCTACAGCCCGAGGGGAACCGTGAGGCCAGCCAAGTCTGGGTGGACGGATCAGACGGCATCTGCAGCCAGTTTCTTAGGATCCACTGTGGGATGGACCTTTACAAGAGATCCTTCCTGTCTACAGCCATCAGTGTCTATAACATCTCTTAATGAAATGAGGATAATGAGTTACAACAACAAATAATTTCCCTCTGGGATTAATAAAGTATTTTTGAATTGAATTGAATTGAATTAAAAAAGCTAAAATGAGCATAAAACAGCTAAATGGTAGCTGAAATAGCAGAAAAAAATGAAACATGCAGAAATAAGTTGAAAGGAGCAAAACAAGCTGAAATTGGCAGAAAGAAGTTAGAAGAATTTTGTAGTTGGCAGAAAGAATCTAAAAGGAGCACAAAACAGCTGAAAATATGGTAAATGGACTGTACTTATATACAGTAGCACCTTTCTATAAGATACTCAAAGTGCTTTACAACACAATCTGTACCCTTATTTACCCATTCATACAGCACTCTACTAGACTTATTCAAAGATTAATCAGTGCTTTATCACATTCATACACTGATGGGACACACATCAGAGGCAATGAGGGGTTCAGTGTCCTGCCTAGGGACACTTAGTCATGTGACTGCTGGTGGAGTTGAACCCCCAACTCTCCCATTGGACTGCTCTAACCACTCAGTCACAGTCCCCCCCAAAACAGCTGAAATTAGCTGAAAAAAGTTTAAATTTACACAAGGAAGCTGAAAGAAGCTGAAGCAGAACAAAATGTGAAAGGAGCAGTAAAAGGTTGTCAACAGATCTAAAGATTTGAAGGATGTAAAATGAGCTCAATTCATTTCTATGAGAAAAGATGGCAGAAAAGACTAAACATTTCAAAAAGCTAAAGTTGCACCAATACCAAAAGTCATAGCAGGATTGTCCTGAAAGAGATGAACGTTTTGATATGATTCATTGAAATGACACAAAAATTGTGAAACGAGGAAGATGCTGAAAAACGTACAGAAGAAAAATGGATCACAATAGTGTGAATACGTCATAAACATTTCTACAATTAGAAAACTAGCTGAACTGACACAGCCCTCTGTAGCCTTTTTAATGTTTGAAATGTTTATTTTTCATTAAAAAAAAGGTGTGTTTTCCATGTCAACAACGGCTGGTTTGAGCCAGAAATAATGAATTTATTCAACTGAAACAAAACCAGGAGTTGCTGGTGATGAACAAAACAATACAGGGGAAGTTACACACGAGAATCTGACACTGGACACACGAAAAAGCACACGGATAAGAACTAGGTGGAGTGAATAGTAAATGAGAACAGCAGGTGTGTGACAGGCAAGACAGAGCTGAGGGGAAACTATGAACTGGAACAGAAACTAACTGAACTGCCAGACTGAGCTGGTAACAACACTGAAGACTGGGAACAGAAACAACACAAAAAAAATGAACATACCGATAAAAAGGGGCATAAAAAATAGATATATTAACACAAACACAATGAAACCCCCAAACTGTGACATCTTCTGTGAAAATATTGAGACTAAACATTACTCTGCTGTAATTTTCACCATCGTTTCTCTTAAAACAGAGAGTTAAAGCAAACAGTTGACACTTTCTACACCCTGTTTGACGCTGGTTCATCTGCTGACTCCTCTCCAGACCGGCCTCCAGCTCCTGTCAACGTGTCCGTCATGCATCTGCGAGCCGACTCAGCAACTGTGTCCTGGGAGGTTCCAGAGGGGGACATCATAATCGGCTTCTCCATCTCACAACAGGTAATATTTAACTTTTAAAGTAAACATGTGTCACGTGCACACATGAATTTCTGCTTATTTTATTTATTTTGAATTAAGCCGTTTGCAATTTGATGCTGAGCCCTGTGGCAGGCCAACCAGACCGCAGGCAGCGGTTTATGATTATCTCATTTCCTGAATATCATGTTTTTTATAGTGAGAATATTAAATTAATAAAATGATGTGAAGGTGGTTTGATGTATAAACTCTTTGAGGCTTTAAAAAACATGGAGAAAAGCTTGTTGAAGCCTGGAGTCAGAAAAAAAAAAGATGCCTGCCAGTCGAGAGGGATTAAAAAGGTTGCAACAGGGATGCTTATAAATTTATAAATCAGCCAAAATAAAGCTTAAAATAGTATGATGCAACACAACTGTACAGTAATTTGTTAATTTTATGCTTCAGAGCGTTACGCAGCAATTCAAGGTGACTCTTCAGTCAGGGTTCTTTGGCAGCTGCACCTAAACACCTAAAGGTTTAGTCATTCCATCGTTTTGAAAAGGTGTGAAGACTGTTTGACAGAACTCTCATTCAAGCAAAGCCATGAAAGCCTAATAAAACGAGACATCTGGGTGGCTGACGCCGTAAGTGCGGATGAGAGACAGAGCGAGGAGCTAAATGGCTGCGTTGGGGGGGATCTCACTTCTTTGTGCTTTGATTGTTTCGACAACCTCGTGAAAGGTCAAACACAGCGTCTGAGCTTTGCAGATCTCCTCTCAACATCTTTGCTATCGGAATTACCGTATTTTCCGGTGTATAAGTCACATTTATTATGTGTTTATTTAATGGTCAAAACAGCTTCATTTCACCTGGCCATCCATCCATCCATCCATCCATCCATCCAACCATCCATTATGGCCCGAGCTGCTAGCTCTCCAGCATTCCTCCGCCTGCACCAGCTGCATGAAGCGAGCATGCACGGGAGGACTCGCTGTTGCAGTTCTTAGAAATGTAATAAGATTAGCACTTAAAAACAATTATTTGTTTGCTCAACATTATAGCAAAGGTGTGTCTCAGTTTAACTTTTTCTTAATAAATGCACTTTAATGGTCAAAACAGCTTCATTTTGCCTGGGCAGCGTGGTGCCATCCATCCATCCGTCCATCCATCCATCCGTCCATCCATCTATCCATTGTGGCCGGAGCCGCAAGCTCTCCAGCGTTCCTCCGCCTGCACCAGCTGAGTGAAGCGAGCGGGCACCGGAGGACTCGCTGTTGCAGTTCGTTTTATGAATATGGAGAAAAAAAAGTGTAGAAGTCACAGGACTGACAAATCTATGCAAAATCTGCGACTTTTATGCCAGAAAATCCAGTAATGACTCCACAATTTCCTAATTCCTCGTCAAGACTCCATACGGCTGAAGCTTTGTATGTTTTCTGGTTGGACAGCTCTGTCTCAGGTCGGCTTTTGTCTCATTGTTTTTGAGCCTCTTTGTGATTTTGGACAGTGACGCATTATTGATTTTAACATTTCCCTGTCAAATTTCATGAAGCAGAGAAATGCCACTTCCAAGAAAGGACGATGCCTTTGGTAACGCAGCGGTAGCATTTTTGTGTGGCCACCCTGATCGCTAATTTGCCCTTCGTATTGATCACAGCTGGAGGTTCAGTTTTTTTCTGTTGCTGTCTATCCCTTTCCTGTACCCAGAGGCAGGATGGACACATGCAGCGATTCATTCGGGAGGTCAACACCACCAGTCGCTCTTGTGTCCTTTGGGACCTGGAGGAAGAGACGGACTACATCATCCAGGTCCAGTCCATTGGCCTCTATGGGGAGAGCCAGGCCAGCAAGAAAGTCCACTTTCGTACCCTGAAGAAAACAGACCGGTTCTCTTCCAACAGCTCCAACCAAGGTATGCTGCTCCGAAACATGCAGTGATGTTTTTCAAGAAAAATCTGACTCAAACTTTGGGGGAAAAAAAGCACCACTTTCGAAACAGATACCACCCTGAAACCATGATGCTGATAACATAATGTTCTGGTTTGTGAGTGTAGTGAATAGCAGCCCATGTTTGAAATGCAGATCCAGACAATAATGACTCAAACATCAGAGAAATGATGGCTCCTGGCACAAGTTCATTAAAATAACTAAGCTAACGTTTTCTTTATTTGTGAGTAATAAGAATGAAAAAAAGCACATTTAGCAACAGTTTCATCCTTTAATTTAGCTGTGAGTGTTTAAAATTTAGATGCTCTGAAAATGAACAAATAGAACTTAAAATATGAGAATCTCTTTTCCTCCCTCATTTTCAGTATTTATAGATACAGTAATATATTTTTTTGAAAAATGAATCATTATTCTTGTATGTGGGCAGCACGGTGGCGCAAGTGGTAGAGCTGCTACCTCTCAGCGAGCAGGTCCCTGGTTCAAACCCCGGTCCGGGGGCCTTTCTGGGTGGAGTTTGCATGTTCTCTCCGTGCATGCGTGGGTTTTCTCCGGGTGCTCCGGTTTCCTCCCACAGACCAAAAACATGCACGTTAAGCTGATTGGTAACTCTAAATTGTCCCTAGGTGTGAGTGAGAGAGTGACTGGTTGTTTGTCTCGTTTGTCTCATATGTCAATATGTGGCCCTGTGATGGACTGGAGACCCGTCCAGGGTGTACCCCGCCCCTCGCACAGTGATTGCTGAACATGGGCATGGCGACCCCCGTGACCCAAAATGGAAGAAGCGGGTAAAGATAATGGATGGACGGATTCTTGTATGTTTTTTGTATATATATATATATATATATATATATATATATATATATATATATATAAGGTCTAGACAAAAGAATCTAAAAACCCCCACAACAAATTGTCATATTACGAGAATATGGAAATCAGGATTTGAGGGCTTCAGAAGCATTTAAAAACCAATATTCTTTAGAGGAACACATGCTCTCCAAGATGTTGTTGTCAGAGTGTGAGTTGGAGATGAACCTCAGCTGTGACCACACCCCACATTAGTTCAATATCTGTAAAAATCACCGAGCCGTAGCTGTTTTTGTGTTCGCTAATAGTGGTGGCAGCCATCTTTCATCAGGTTGACTGTAAAAGTTAATCAGTTGTAGATCCCCATCTAATGGTTACTTTCTGAAAGTTTCATTAAAATCTATTTAGTGGACACACACTAAATCACCTGCTTTCATGACTGTGGGTGATATGGCTTATAAAAAAGTCAAAAACAGATTTTTTTTTTCTTTAAAAAAATTTTTATCTCACATTTGAGCAACACTCACCCCCCCCCCCCCACCCCAATAAATAAATAAATAAATATGTTTTACAGCACAAGTCTAAAGAATCACTGAGCCATTTGTTTTCTGGTTGTGCCAGAGAAGATGGCGGCAGCAGCTGTTTCTAAATGTGCTGTTTGACTCCATCCTTAGTTTACAGACAAAGAACCATCCAGATTGTTTTCCTGCTGAAGCCTCTTTCCACTCTTTACTCCTTTGAATGCACCCTGACACTGAAAATGAGACACGTTAAAGGCAAGTAGTGACAAGTGAGAGTACAGAGAGCTTCCTCTCACAGGCTCACCTTGGCAAGGGGAGAAATGGTGAAGCTCAGACTGTTTCTTTCACTCCCCCATCCCCACCTCCCTGACACCATTATACTATTGACAGACTCGTCAAGTGCAGTGTCTCTAAATTTATGCAACATTACATCTGCCATGGTGACTCTCTGCAGGTTCCAAAACACTTTACATTCAGGGTTCAGCTCACGAGCTGACGGAGATAAGAAAACCGTGACCAATGAGAAACAGGTTCAGCTGTTTCTTTCAGCAAAGTGGAAGAAAATGCTTTTTCCTTTTTTGTTGTGGGTTATTAACACGATTCTTCTACGGGAAAGTATTAAACTAATCTTCAAATTTGTTCATAGTATTTAAGCAATGAGACAAGTATTTTCAGTCTTAAGATAAGACATAACATAGTTAGCATTTTGAAATTGATTTCTGTGGAAAGGTTCTGCACAATTAATATCTTACCTGTTGTAGATAACTCTTGAACGGCCTTTATTTAGATAAATTGAGTTAATTAATGTCACTTTCCAATAAGGGCATTTTTATAAAGGATTTATTAATGCAGGTTATTTAAGAGTTTGTGAACATTTATCAAATTTAATAACACCGTTCATACACTGAAACAGGCTAGCTATGTGGTAAGATCAAGTGCTTTGTGCTTTATTCATTTATTCTTTATATTTACCTACATAAATAAACGTACAGAGCTTGATTTTGACAAAAAATTAGCCTGCTTCAAAATATGAACATTTTGTAATCATTTTTGTAAACAGCTGTTTATGCTTTATAACGTTTTTATAAATTTATGATTAACCTATTTACAAAACATTAATAAATGTTCTATAAAATAGCCCTTATTATTGTGAAGGGATACAGTTTAATTCTGAGTGGACTGAAGAGCTAACGACTAGTTCTTAGTAGCTTGTTGTTGTCTTGTAACAACTCTAGCCTCAAATATTTTATAGCAGTTTATGAGAATACAATTTCATGTTGCTGCTAGTATGATTATTGATGGTTGATTCATTTATTTTCACATTATTATTTATGTAGCAATGCCATTGTTATTTAGCCCTGTACCCTGTATCTGAATGCCTTTGGATCTCTCAGGAGCTGGAGAGTGTCGCTGGGAAGAGGATTTTCTGGGTTTCTGTCCTGGACCTGTTGTGTTTGCGACCGGACCATGGATAAATAATAGAAGATGGACGGGTGGATGGGTGTTGCAAATGCAAATAAAGCCAGCAACAGCTACATGTTCACAACAGGACTTCCTGCAGAAATATCACAATATTTTTACTGGAATGATTTTGTGATGCAAACATGATGATAGTATAAAAGTTTATGAAAGAAAATTTGAATATGAGTTGTTTTAAGATCTCAGCAATCCACTTGGGCTTGGAGTAGCCATTAGCTCATCCATCAGGTTAAACTTAAACTCTATTTCTCCAAACTAAAAATTACATACAGTGGGTAAGAAGTAGATTGTTCATACCCTTTCCCCATAAAAAAAAAATTAAAATAAAAAAATCATTTTAAAAAATCTAAATGGTCCCTTCCCTTAAATATATTTTATCTGTGATATTAAAGTCTGGTGAAAATGAGAAATGCTGATGCAGGAGGATCATAAGTGCTCGTCTTTAGCTGAGTCTCAGTGGATTTCACCTAATAAGCTAAAATGATTGTCCAAAGTAAAAATAAAAACTGCACACCATCCAATAAATTAATACAGATACTGACAGTACAGTCTAGCTCTTTCTTTAAATTAAAACTGTTGTATTTTACCCAAAGCCATGAATATACAGTAGCTCAATAAAGTGAGACTCATGGTTAGTGATGACTAGAAAGACTTACTGCTCCATTAAGCACGATTTGTCTGATTTTTGTATTTTCCCCCAGTTTGAGATAAAAATAATTAGAAAATACTATTCTGTAATTACCTTCACTGGTGTGGTAGAAAATTAACCCACGTTTGTGTTAAATAATTAAAACACAAACAGTGGAACGCACTTTAAGGCTCTAGTGAACCAGAGGTTATTCATGAGCCCACAGATGTCACAGATGTTCATATCTACAGACAGTTAGGGAAACCTGGAAAACCATTGGGAAAGACAAATAACATGCCGGTATATGACAAGAACTTCATAAAATCACACAGAAAGGGCCCCAAAGTAGTTTAATTAAGATTCACTTTGTAACACCACAAAACTATGCTGCACATAAAAATAATGAAATCTGTAAAAATGTGCCTTTGTCTGTGTGTTTCAGTCTTTTCTTAAGCATGGGTCTGCAACATTTACAATCAAAACAGCTATTTCTGCCTCTTTAATCACTAAATTAAATGTGTCCGAGGCTGCAAATGTGATTATCAACTGGTGGTCCATGGGGCACTTTAAAAACATTAGAAGGCCTTTTCCAGAGATCATCAGTAGTAACCCCTGCACCAAAAAACTTTTGGTTATGACATTATAACCCTAAAAGTATGTAAAGAGTTTTAGCTTTTATTGGTATTTTTACATTTTAGAACAAAGGAAATGACCACATACTTGTAAAGAAAGAGGAAAAATATTTCAGTTATACTCCTTCGGAAAAATAAATAAATAAATACACAACTATATGTAAGTTCTCAAAAAACAATTCCAAAAATTTACTTTTCTGGTGGATTTAAGAGAAGGATCCCCTCTAAGGCTGGAAGTTACAAGTAGAATAATGAAGTGGCTAAAAGGCTAAAAATAAACTAGTAGATCTGTATGTATTTGTTTAATCTTCTACATATTTGCAAATGATTGACAGGAAAACTGTTGAAATGAGCTTGTTTTATTCTGTGGCTGTAAAAAGCAATACAATTAATTTCCATATTATTCTTGGTCAAACCTTCAAAGTTCTGCTGCAAAGGGACCAAAAAAACTGCAGGCTGCAGACCTGATCCAACATAAAAAAAATGGCAATGCTGCAGAAAGCAAACAAACAAACAAACAAACTGGGTTTTGTTCCAACTAAGTGGTGGCATGCAGTTTGTTCATCATTAAAAATTATAAACTTTAATTCAGAAATTAAAATGAAAGAAATTGTCTGTACTTTAAATGTTGTCTGTGTGAAACAGGTCTCTCTTGTAAATGAGTCCTCATGACTCAATGAGACTAACCTGTAGAAGTAAAGGCTGAATGAATAAAAAGGGTTAAAAATACTATAATAATAATAATTCAATTCAATTCAGTTTATTTATATAGCACCAAGTCACAACAGAGGTCATCTCAGGGCACTGAACAGAAACATTTGTATACATAAAAAGTAAGTTAATGACATTATAAAAATAACTAGAAAGTTCCTGGATAAACTTTGATGGGGACTGCCATGCTGCTGCCAATTTATAATTATGATTTGACAGTACTAGGTGCTGGGGTTTGCTCTCAGCTACCACTATACCAAATCTGAGCTGAATGGCTCTAAAAATGGCCGAATTATCACAATTATTCCTTTTTAGCTAAGGCAGCCATCTTGGATTTATTATTTGGATTTGGTATGTGATAGGGAACGTTCTCAGCTATAACCTCACCAAATTTCAGCTCTACATCTCAAAGAATGACCGATGGTCAATTTGATGTTTGCTGAGGTAGCTGTGGCAGCCATCTTGAATGAAAATGGCTCCAAAGTCCTGCCTTCACACTGACGATAATCAGTTATTCAAAACATTCAATCAGCAGCAGCTGACTGCTACTTTACCTCTTAATTCATGCAAAAGCACTAAAGGTGGACTTGGTTTTTCACATGCAGCTTCTCCATTTTAGCGTTTTTGTTGTTGTTGTTGTTTATTTGTTTTGTTTATCTAACAAAGTCAGGTCCTCTGGACGGATTCTTCTTTTAACAAAGAAGAATCCGTCCAGAGGATGTGACTTAAATTTTTCTTCCTGGATTGTTGAGCATCAGGACGTCTTTTTGTTGAATAAATAACGTCATGGTGGGATCTGCTGCACCTTTGAACACTTGATATAAAGAATTTTCACAACATTTTTATTCAGTTCTGAGAAGTTGCACTGAAAAACTGAAAGAGGGTGGACTTTTTCTTTTCCCATGACTGTATTCTTCAAGCTTCAAATGTATAATCCACCCTCCCTCCACCACCCACCCAACTTTGATCTCTTGCTGCTGGCTCCTTCCTTTTCATCTCCGTCTGAATTTTAATAAAAGCCCGGGCAGTTTCAGAGTAATCCCACCAATATCTCTGGCAATAAGCATCAAATATGCTCACTTTCTGATGAACCCTGACTCATTCCTTCTGTCCTCGGGCCACACTATTGAAGAGTTGTGTCGGCACAATCGAACACACTCTGTTAACGACTGGATTGCTGACAGACTGGCACTCAAGGCCAGTTCCTTGACAGGCTGATTCTCTAAAAGAGGCAATTAAGAAGAGTGGCACTCTGGAAGAGGTCCATCCAGGCGAGTTAAGAGACAGTTAGGAGAGTGGAAATAGGCCCCTTGGTAATCCACTTACAGGAAAATTAATTTTTACAAGACGGAAAAATTGTAACACTTACATTTTCTGACAGCTTATACTAATGATTGTCCTGCGCTGTAAAGACAATATCTATTTTTTCTTCATATATATGGTCCCTGTGTTTGTTTAATCTCAAATCTGTCCAAGTTCTTCCTTGAAACTTTACATAACTCCATCCTTTGTTTAGTCCATGTGTAGTGTGTCAAGGTCAGCTTTGCTGTACCTTCACTACAATATAATTTAAATAACGGGTTCTCTCTTTTTCGAGCTAAATTACAGCCATGTGACCGAGGTAACGGTGCATAGATGGTTTAATCAGTGACATGAGACGTTCATTTTCTTTGACCCATCAGAATCAATGTGGTCATTTATTGAACAGAATCAAAATTTAACATCAAAACTTTGTACACTTGATTAGCTGATCTGGTTCTGATTAATAAAACTTGGCACGTTTTGCTTAATAAAAACAACAGACATTTCTGAAGGCCTCTAGATTAATTACTGGAGAAGTAGAAGAGTTTTAAAGATGGGAAATATGAGGAGTTTAAATGGAGAGGTTTGAAGGAAGATGTATAAAGGGAGTGTCTGTTCGGACCAGGATGGCATGCTCCTTTCAATACCAGCTCACCTCAGGTACACTTCGCGTCACGACTTGTTACCTTTGCCAGGATACCTCCGCTCAGGAACAGGAGTCCATTTCAACGCGGCCTTTCAGCGTCTCCGGTAAGGATGGCTGGTCACCGTCAGAAGTCGTGTCACTTATCCGTTCAACAAACAGGCTCAGCTCCCTTCGAAGTTGTAGGGCATTTATGCCCGGGTGGATTCACAGCAAGCATCTGTGAGTCCGTTCAGAGTTTCCACTCAGAAGTGGAAGACTCCATGAAGACTGAGTTCAACTCAAGACCGAGAACTCAAGACTGAGAACTGCAGAACTGCCGCACTGACTCCAGAACTCAATAGTTCCAGGAAGTGTCGACTTTTAAAGAGTTCACTTTAGTACTTCCTGATTGGTTGAAGCAACCAACAGGGGGTGGTTCTAGTGATGTCAGAGGGTCATTACAAGTCAAGAAAACAGCAGGAATATTTTAGAAACGTCCCGTACAGACAGAAGACATGTTATGTCAAAGTGGGAGGAAGAGAGGCCAGTAGCTTCTTGTTTACCGTCTGCTAGGTTTAAAAACACGACACTTCGTTCCAATAACTTCTCTTCTGACTTTCGACTGACATCACTACTTCTCATTTCAGACAGAAGATCAAAATGCATAATTACTTTGTAAAATAGACATTTAACTTGATTTCTAATTTAAATGAGGATTAAAAAATCATTAATACTGTTTCACAGTTGATTTAAAATGAGTGGTTCACTTCATCATTTAGAAATGGTATGAACTAAACACACTTTTGATTTATCAAGATATTGTAAAATAGTGATGATAATATAAAAGAAGAGTGTTCTTTCAATTGATTACTTCAGTATACAATTAGACAGTCTCTGGATGAGCTAATTTGCATTTCTGGATTCAAATCAATGAAATAGCAGTTCCTGTACCATGAAGGTCTTCAGAGGCAGGTTTTGGTTGGAGGCCGAGTTCACTACACATGTAAATAAAGAAGTAAGGACAAAATATTCAGGCTTTTTTTAATTCAGCGTTCAAAGTTCAGGAGTGTTTTGCATTTCCTCATACAGCTGTCCTGTTTGTCCTTTCTCCTGCAGACGACCCCACCGTGCAGGGTCTGGATAAGTCCAGGCATCTGCAAACAGGAGAGATGATCATAATCGTGGTGGTCTTGGTCATGTGGGCAGGTAGGTTGGTGCTGCAGGCGTGCGGCTCTACTTTTATGTAGGAACCATGAAACACTAAAACAATTTAAAAGTCTTGCTCAATCTAATTTTAAAGTGGTTTCATTATATAAGGAGATTTTTTTTGTCTTTTGAGATGTCTATACTGTAATTCAGTTTCTGACTTTGTTCCCTTTTTCTATGGAGTGATTAGGGCCTTCAGGAACTTTTTTTTTCCCAACAAATATTAGTTTCACACAAATAAAAATAACCTAAAATTACAAAATTTGCCACAATAATAGGACACCATCAGTCAACGCGATCACGCTCATTTGGTTTTGGACTGTTAACCTTTAGAATATATCAATTAAAATTAATGACGCATCATGCTTTGTGTTTATATACTGTACATAAACAGGTAATAGTGAGGAAGTGGTGGCGCAGAAGTTAGAGAAGTTGAGCCTGAGAGTGGGAGGTCACCAGTTTGAATCCCCTGATCTTTACATCAAGAATGTAGGTGGGACAAGTGAAGCACCCACATCTGCCTCCACCCTTAATACCCCCAGCTGCTCACCCAGGTGCTCCAGATTGCAGCTCCACATGTGGGCTGCATGTGGAGCTCAGTGGTACGTTAGGAGGGGCATACAGGAAAAAACAATAGTCAAATCTTCACGTGAGTTAGCTTACTGGGGCACCCCCGGAATAGTAATAGTACCAGTACAACAAACCAGAAGTTATTTATGCAGCAGATAGTAAGATTATTCTTTATAAAAACATCAAGTACACAATGTGAGAGATTCTATCTTGAAGTTCTTCAGTGTTTCTGCAGTCTGCGTTTTTTTGTTGGTTTTTTTGCTCAGTTTTGGTCCAGTCTTTTAACCTGACCATGACGATATCTGAAAGTTATGTCTTCACAAAATAGACGAGGGGGAGGCGGGGGGTGATTCATCACAGACCTGACACAGGCTCCTCATCCTTCAGTTGATCTTCCGCTGTATGTTTTCATCCAATAACTCTTTGGGAATCACCTTGCTGGTGCTAAAACAATATTTTATCCCTGTCAAATTGTGTTATCGTTTGTGCTTTTCATAGACTAAACTATAAAAAGTTGGAACAAATCGTGTTTTTGTGAAAAGGCTGGTGCAAAACATGCCTTAATATTAAATTTAAAATTAGAATGTTATCTTTCATGTGCCGGCATGGCACAGTTTCATCCCTGTTTGAGCCTGTTTGTGCCTAAATGTTTCATAGGTGAGAGATACAGTAAGTGGTCTCTGAAACTGAGTGAGAGAGCAGACACGTTTGAAGGGAATGTTTCACAGACTTCCTGGAAGCCTGAAGAAACGGCGATCAAAGCCACTTTAAAAGATAACAAGAAAGTCAGGCAGCTTGGAAGCAAAAGATACAAAGATTAGTGGAGGTTTAAAACCTTTGTACAACAGTGTTGTTATTGGTTGTAGTTGCCATATATGTGACTTATTGTTAACCTTTTGAGTAAAACTTTTGCACCAGGTCACTTTTGTTGGTGATGAGTCTTTTTATCTTTGCTAGTGAGATCATTTCTGCAAAGAGTAGAGCAGTCTCATCATTTACAGAAACAAGGAAGCCCTGCATCTGTTGCCTCTTTACAAAGTGCATAAAGTTTAAACAAACAGACATAAATGTTGATATTACTGTATTTTCTGGAATATAAGTCACAGTTTTTGCATTGATTTGTCCGTTCTGCGACTTATATACGTTTTTTTTCTTTTCCATATTCATAACGCAATTCTTGACTGATGCTTTAAAGTTCTAAGAACTGCAACAGCAAGTGATCCCGTGCGCGCTCGCTTCACTCAGCTGGTGCAGGCGGAGGAACGCTGGAGAGCTAGCGGCTCCGGCTGCAATGATAGATAGATGGTGTTGCGTCGCCAAGGTGAAATGAAGCTGTTTTGACCATTAAATAAACGCATAATAAATTCAATTCAATTCAAAAATATTTTATTAATCCCAGAGGGAAATTATTTGTTGTTGTAACTCATTAACCTCATTTCATTAAGAGATGTTATAGATACCGATGGCTGTTGGCAGGAAGGATCTCTTGTAAAGGTCCATCTCACTGTGGATCCTAAGAAACTGGCTGCAGATGCCGTCTGATCCGTCCACCCAGACTTGGCTGGCCTCTCGGTTCCCCTCAGGCTGTAGGGCCGCCTAAATGTCAGGCAGAACTCCTCCCAGAGCGATGGCCACTCACGCCAAAGTGATTTATATATGTTTTTTTTTTCCTCTTCATGATGCTTTTTTTTTTTTTTTGACTAATGCAACTTATATTCCGGAGCAACTTATATGCCGGAAAGTACGGTACATATTAAAATGTGTCACTGTCAGGTTTCACCTCATCTAGTTGCATTCAAATAGTAGCAAAAAATCTCATATGTATTTAAATTTTCTGTTTCTAGAATAATGATGTGAAGGTAACAAAAGTTTTACACTGCAGTCATGTTACATCAATACATTGTTATTAATTAAACTCATTATCAATACAGAGCAGTCCTGGGGAAATACTATTCATAGGTGGAGAAGAAAGAAAACACAAGCGACATTTGAAAAATAAACTTGTATATTTTGAAGATATTCTCTTTACACCCTTTCACAGCAGCACTTTTCTCTCTGTTGAACCGTGACTTTCTGCTGCTTTGAAGAAGTGTGCTGATTAATGAAGTGTTGAGGCACAATGAGATGTGGCAGATCTGACAGGCGCAAGGGCTTCCCACCCACGAGAGGCAGAGTGAGACGTTAAATAACCCTAATGAGAGGATCCAAGGAAACACGTGCAGAAGCTGTGAGTGGGAGTGAAAGAACTGTGTCACAAAGATTGTAAATGAGCCTTTTCTAACCCATTTTATTTGTTAATTTCAGATAATTATCCTGTTACCTTCAATCTGTGCTGTTTTCTTTAACATAATGAATTAGACAAATAAATAGCCATCAACTTTAATCTGCTGCAATCTCATCTGTTAAACTAAATTAACTTTTTGGATAGTGATTGGTTCGGAGCTGGGGGAAAAACGAACTGTGCTACAGAAATGAATCACTTCCTTTAGTTAACTTAGAAGTACTGACACTGCACTATAAAGGTTTTGTATTAAAATTATAGATGAAAGGGGAATATTTCAGTCAAAATATACTCATAACAAAACGTATCAATAGAATCCAGTATTACTGATATTACTACAATGTTTATTGGCTGTGATGAGTCTTATTTTAAGAAATATTGTGTATGGCTTAAAATAATGTTCATTAATTTACAGATAATGTATTTTCTCTGCCAGCTAAGTAATAATTTGACCTGTAAAGCCCTAAATGTAGAGTGAAATGAAGAAAAGTGATTTATGAATGTTTCAAATGTTTGTGGTAGTAAAACCTAAAAATAATATAAATTAGAAAAAACAAGCTTTTCGTGTTTTAAATTCTCAAAAAACTAAAACTATAAAAAATGCAATATTTGTCACTTACTTGAAGTGAAGCAGAACTTATAAAAAGTGATGCATCCAAAAAAGACAGATACTTTGGACTAAAATATGCAAAACTGCAGCTAAATTGACTGAAAAATGAATTCCCAGTTAGATTATTAAAAAAATGTCTTCTTTAAAAAGTAAAAGAACTTTTATTATACCTGCTATATTCATCTACATGTGAAGATTTAATAACTAGCATCAATCACTTAGCTGTCAGCTAAAAGTGTTATTTTCACTTTTAAACTTGAATATATTGTACATTTAAATAAAATGAATAGGACAAAAACAAATAATCAAACACATGCTGCTGTTATTCAATAAAATCTATGTAAAATATGAATCAGCAACGTCTCCGCTAATTAGGCAGCGCCATCATTCCAGCTGTATCGTGGGAGAGCACTAACGTAAAGGATGGATAATAATCTGTCAGTCAAATGAAAACTTCCCCGGCTCTGCAGATCTCATTACCAGAACTGAATATCTATTTCTGAAAAGCTAATGGCAGCCTCCTTGTTGAAATTTATAACCAACCTCCCTGATGCCAGGAAGTTTGCAGTGTATTTACATCGCTTATACAGACCGGAGGCAGAACTGAATCTGACTGATTGCAAATGTTCATGTTCACAGGTTTTAGAGCAGCCACTGTGCTCCAAAGTTCTTTTATCCACGCACGACACATCAGTCTGCTGCGGTGCAGGAAGTGGCGTCATATGACTGACAGTTCTCTCTGCTTTGTGTGTTTATTTTATATGTGGGTGTCTCTTTCTGGACGACAGCTGTTATTGCCCTGTTCTGTCGGCAGTATGACATCATAAAAGACAACGACTCCAGCAACAATAAGGAGAAGGTCAAACCGCTGTCAGAGAGGAGCACGCCGGAGCACCACAGTGGAGGACTTCTACGGAGTAAGGTGAGCTTGAATGAATACTGCAGGAGAAGTTGGTTACCTTAAAAAAAAATTTTGTGTAATGAAGATATTGACTTCTACACCCCAGTAGCTATCATCCTAATAGTTATTTGATTTACTGTTTGCTGTGGCATCACTTTCCCTAACTTATTTTGTAAACCTTCCTAAAAGTAGTACAGGGGTGTAACAGTACATGTATTTGAATTGTGACGCTTTTGTATATATGTTTTAGACGGGTATAGTAAACTGACGATGAGTACATCAGTGACAGGTGCTCACCGCTCCGAGAGCAAATGCACTTTTTATTTACCGTATTTTCTGCCATACAAGTCGCACCGCCGCATCAGTCCAAAAATGTTTAATAAAGTGGAAAAAAACACAAATAAGTTGTTTCGCTGCATAAATCGCATCCAAATGTGGGCCAGTGTTAGGCCAAAAATCGATTGGCTGCCAAATGGCGGCAGCGGGAGCGCGCACGGGAGTACTTTAACAAGAATTTAACAAGATTAACACTTAAAAACAATTATTTGTTTGCTCGAAATTATAGCAAAGGTGTGTCTCAGTTTAACTTTTCCTTGATAAATGCACTTTAATGGTCAAATCAGCTGCATTTCACCTGGGCGGCACAACGAAATACAGCTGATTTGGCGTTTGCTCCAGGAGTTCCAGAGCCAGACGAAAGTGGCTTGGTATGGCAAGCCAAGTGTCTCATTAATAGCCACTTTAACCAATTAATGAGACACTTGGTTTGCCATATTACTTGAGGGCCCTCTAGCAGTTGAAAATGGAAGTGGTCAATATTTTCCATGTCAGAATAAATGAAATTGTCAGATCTCAGTCAAACATTGGGTTATAAATGGGGATGGGGGAGGGGGGGGGAGTATATTAGTTGCTTCGGTGTATGTCGCAGGACTTGCAAATTTATGTAAAAAGGTGCGACTTATACAGCGAAAAATATGGTACTTGCATCTTGCTAACAGCCACAACAGAGACGAAGCAAAGAAAAATACTGTACCACCTAAACCTGGTGTTCTCAAACGTTTGGGGTTTAGGAACCCCTTATAGGGGAGAAAAGTTTCAGGGACCCCCTCATAACCCTCATGTTTATTAAATAATTTTCTTCAATTTGTCTCTTTAATACAATGGAAATTTTTGTGTAACATACATATTTAAGACCTGTTCTTTAATAGTGTTAATATTTTTTTTATACTTGAAACATATTCTCAAATCATACGTTTCCAGCTTTTAAAACACGAATGAAACAAGTTTCCAAAATTAGAAACAGCTTCATTGAATACAAAAAAATCCAACTACTGCTTTTTCTTCAATATTGAAGACATTTTGTTACACAAAAACCAAGACTGAAACAGTGATTTTTCACTTTTCTTATCCATTTCAGTTTCATCCCTCTGTACCATCCATAAACATCATTGAAGTTTGAGAAGAAGAAGACCCAACTGAAAATCCTCCATCTCCAAATGTTTTTTTTTTATTCTTGTTGCTGATGAATAAAACACAGAGACATAGAGAGAAAACGTGAGTTTGGTGTGCGGCATCATTAACACAAATGTCTTGACAGAATGTACTCACGTGCATGAGTATTTTAAAAGGAAAAACACACCATCGCAAGCATTCAAACTCCAAACTACAGACTGTTGAAAATTCACACAATCATTGCAAACTGATACACTATAGGGTTAAAAGGACATGGCCCATATTACACTGATGTCTTTGGTAGGTGCTTTATATATAACTGCAACACAAGCCCAACAATAGAACTCGTCATCTCTGGGAAGCCTGTGTTTGTGACTTTAAATGCGCAATGTGTTTTGATATTGGCATGTGCAGTTAGATAATTTGTTTACCTGTTATAGACAAGTGCAATTAGTGTTAATTTACTGCTTGACCATGATGATACATTGTGGTTTCTGTAAGTAGATTGCTATTTAGGACAGCAAGAACTCAAGCTCAGAACTGATCTTCTAAAGCAACAGTCTCCCCAGCTCCCTTTTTTATTCTTCTTGTCCAAAACGCTCACGACTTCTGGTTAATACTGTAATCTGTTTTTTCATCCATCACATGTAAACACACACACATTTTGTTTGTTTACTTAGTGAAGTTGCATGCAGACTGTTAACGTGTATAATAGCATTTAATGTGCATTCTAATTTAGATTCTCAAACACAGAAATAAACAAAATTCCTGTAAAACGGAGCTCTACTGAATTGTGTCAATTATTTTATCTGCTTGTAAAAAAAGTTGCTGCATTTTTTTTATCTTCATATGTTTTTTTTTTCTTCATTTTCTGACTTTCCTTTTTCCTGACCTAAAATATAAACCTTCTTTCTAGTTAATACGGTTTTCTAATGACACTAACAACTGTAAACAACCATCAACACTGTGCCTAAGAAAACTGTAACCTGCCTAAATGACTATCAGCATGTGGCACCAACACTGATACAATGAAGTGCTTTGATAAAGTCAGACCCTCATTTTCCCAAGAAGCAACACAGTTTAAAACCCAGGACCTTCTTGGTGTGAGGCAATAGTGCTAACCGCTGTCCTGCTGCGCTGCCCAGTCTTATTCCAACTGAGAGAGTGGTGGTGGGGGAAACATCTATTTCATGATTCTGTCCAAGTTCTCCTCAGCCAAGCATCCCACAACAGCTGCCCAAAGCTCCCTGCTCAGACTGAAATACTCACTGTGCACCTGGACTTTCTATCAGAAAGGTCACAGTCAATCAATCATGCATGCAGTAAGATGTCACAACATTAAACTGATCACTGGAGTCCCTCAAGGATGTGCACTCAGTCCCTTTGATCTTCACTCTGCTCACACAGGCTTGCATTGCCTAATTCAGCTAAAACCCAATTACCGGTAATGTGCATTAGCTAGATATGAGAATGTCACATGTATATGTAGTGTATTACAGTATATCTACTGTACTTTGCTCACGTACGGTAATTCTTTGAGTTCAGTCAAACTGCTGTAAATAAATTTCACCAATGAACAAATTCTTCACCTGTCCTCAATATCTTTCATTTTAAGTGAATTGGTGATTTCAAGTGAAGTAAGTATACTAATTTTTATTTGCTCTTCTAAACAAAAGGCCAGTTGAAAGTTGAGAAATTATGACACCTGGCCATTGTTTCCGATCAGCACAATTGCTTTTTCTTTACTCTATAAATCAATGTACAATATGAAAAAGTGTCCATTTCTACCAGAATATTAGATTGAATTATGAATATTATTCAGAAGATGAGTTCAATTCTAAGGTGAATATGTAGGTATTTTCAGTGATCCACTCTAATAGCAGGAGTCTTTATGGTAACTTTTCAAATATCAAAGATTATTTAATATATATATATATTAGGGGTGTAACGGTATGCTAAAAATCACATTTTGGTTCAGTTTCAAGGAGGGCTCGGTTCGGTTAATTTTCGGTACAAAAAAGGCCAAAATAAAGACTTGCAAGATGTTTAATTTGAAAATATGCCAAGTAAACAATACGTTTGTATAAAAATAAATAAAAGTGACCCATTTGGATGACATTTTAAATAAACGGCACTCTTTACAATAAATAAACCATACTAAAAATAATAAAAATTGTAATAAATACAATAACAGTCAGAACCAGAACAATAAGCATTTGGTAAGGATGCCCCCTGGGTGCCTCCCTAGGGAGGTGCTTCAGGCATGTCCGACTGGCAGGAGACCCCGGGGAAGACCTAGTGACAGGGTTTTACCTGTACCTTAAATAAAACACAGGGAGACAAGAATGAGATTTCTAGAACGTATCTTTGCAAAAAGGGAGAGCGTTCGACCAAAGTCAGAACAAAGTCCAACTTGTTTCAGCGTGCGTTCCTTTTTTATTCAGGCAAGTAGGAATGGCAAACAAGAAACACAAGATCTGGTGGTTTTCAGGTAACAAAGACGTGGCAGTTTCTATCAAAACAGGAACTGTGAGTTTCCAACAAGTCAGTAGAGAAAGGTTTCAGAGCATTATAGAACAGTTTAAATGAGTATAAGTTTAAACGATCAATTGATAAAGTAAAATACTCTAACACCTAGAACATGCTGGAGAGACTAAGGTATGTCTCTTGGTTGACCTGGGAACGCCTTGGAATCCTCTCAGAAGAGCTGGAAGAGGTGGCTGTGGATAGAGATATCTAGGCCTCCCTGCTCAAGCTGCTGCCCCCACGACCCGACTTCAGAATAGAAGATAATGGATGGATGGATGGATCCTCTCTCTCTTTAGGTTTGGTTTTGATGATAATTTATTAATCTTTATTTAACCAGGCCCCACTGAGATCACAGATCTATTTTACAAGAGAGGACTTGGCCTGAAGGTAATGAAACTGGTTTGCACTTACTGGCTGACCACTCCTTGTTCTGCATTTGTGTCTTCACCTTATTTCTCAACATGGATAATGACACACAGGTTCTGAAACAAGATTCTGCTGCTGAACTACAGCATTTTATCTGGCCTTTGAACTGGATAGCTTCTAATCAAGAAAGTAATTACATCTAAGAACATAGCTCATCAAAAGTGATTACAGTTTCCAATTAATTTATAGACATTCCACTCCTTTTTAACTCAGTGTCAGTGCAGAACAGCACCCATCTTCCTTTGGTTTTGTAATCTATAGTGAAGATGAGGTTTGTTAGTTTGTAGATTGCAACCATTTATTGTGTCCATTTCTCATATCTACACTGTCAACACACAGCAGCAGGATTAGCTGTAGGATGTTGTGCTTCACTTTCATGTTTTCCCATATCAAAGCATTTAAAACAATTAATGCACACATGATCAACATGTGGGGTAGAGTATTGAACTCAGTGTTTTCAGCCTTCAGTGTAGTTCATGCTTGGGCACATCTGACCTTTAAAAGCCAGCCACAATAGGTTGTCACTTTCAAACATTAAAACCCTTATCAGCTTAATATGAATTCATTAGGGTAGTGTAGAACATTTTATCTGTCTCTAATTAGCTGTTTCAAAATGTGTCGGATAGCCTGTTAGTAACCAATTACATGCTCATGAATACTAAATGACCGGTTTCATTTGCAGAATGAAATACTGAGATGAAATCAGGCTTTGATCAAGACCCACCCCCCCCCCCCCCCCCCCCAAAAATAAAAAAATAAAAAATAGTTAAAACTAAGTTCATATGAACGACTTTGTATTTTGTAGATACATACATACATATATCTATCCATGCATCCATTATTGCAGGCATCACTGGTGTCCATGTCCAGCATGGACAGGTCTCCAACAGAGACAAATGAGACAAACAAACATTCACCCTCTCACTCACACCTAGAGACAATTTAGATTAGCCTAACATGCATGTTTTTGATCTGTGTGTAATGGTCAGCGGCCCCCGCCCTGCCTCTTGGATTTATTTCTCTGCCTGCCGCTCGTCTGGTTTTGTTCTGACCCTTCTGACCTTGGTACGACAACTTTTTCTGGCCCTTTGACTCTGGATTTTGGATTAGCTCTTGCATCTGTTTAAAGAACTCTGACTCCCCATGCTTGACCCTTGCTTTGCCTTCTGGATCACAACCCTACCTCTTCTGGATCCTCTCCCTGGCTGCAGCTGCAATTATAAATAAAACTGTTTTCATTTTTTACTCTTGTGTCTTGTCATTCTGAATCCTAAAGCCTGTTTTTTGTGACACTGTGGGGAAAAAACTGGAGCACCAGGAGAAAACCCACATATGGAGATAATATGCAAACTCCACCCAGAAAGGGCCTCAGACTGGATTTGATCCGGCAACCTTTTTGCTGAGAGACAACAGCTCTACCAACGGCACCACCATGCTGCCCAGCCAAATAAATAAAATGAAAATTAAATTAGGGAGAAAAAAATTGTTTCCCGTTTTGTATTTTTTTTCCCAGTTTATCAAAGTTAAATGGTAAATGGACTGTACTTATATAGCGCCTTTATATCTTATTTCAAGATACTCAAAGCGCTTTACACTACAATCTGTATCCTCATTTACCCATTCATACAGCACTCTAAATCGCTACAAAGCTAATTGAACACATCATTCTAATGAGACTAATCAGAGCTTTAGATCACATTCATACACTGATGGGACACACATCAAAGGCTATGAGGGGTTCAGTGTCTTGCCCAGGGACACTTTGACATTTGACTGCTGGTGGATTTGAACCCCCAACTCTTGTATTGGAGGACGACTGCTCTAACCACTCATCCACAGCCGCCCCAAAGTTGTATTCCAATAATTGCTGCTCTGGAGACAGACAGTGACGGACAACTTTAAACAGTAAATAATCTGCTGCGGCCATTAAAGAACAAAGAGAGGTCAGCCAAATCTTGATCAAAAGAGTGAAGAGTTTAGAATTATTGTCCTTTCCTTGGAGCTGAAAGAATGTAATGAGTGGCAAAGCAGGCACATTTATTTAATTAACTCTCATTGAAAACTACGGTGGCACAGAGGTGTAAATTACCAACATTTGAAAAAATGGAATTACATTAAAAAAAAATGTTAAATTTGAAAAATAAAATAAAATAAAAATATGGAATTACATTAAGCCAAAGCAGAAGTGACCAAAGTGGAAGTGACCAAAGTGGAAGTGGCCAAAGCAGAAGTGGCCAAAGCAGAAGTGACCAAAGCGGAAGTGACCAAAGCGGAAGTGGCCGGAATAACATTTGGAAAAACAGAATTACTTTAGAAAAAAAAAAAAAAACAGAATTACATTTGGAAAAACTGAATTACATTATGCCAAAGCGGAAGTGGCTGAAGCGGAAGTGGCTAAAGTGGAAGTGGCTGGAATAACATTTGAAAAAAATGGAATTAAATTAAGCCAAACCGTAAGTGGGTTTTTTTTTTTTAAACTTTATTAACAACATAGAACAACAGAACAATGTACAGTAACAAGATACAAATATAAACTCTTGTGAAAGGTGTGGGGCTCATGTACCATTTGTTAAGTTTTTTTAAATTGAGAATCCAAAATAAAAATAAAAAATAAAAACGACTTGTTTCATTATTTATTTTCACAAGGGTTTAAAAAAATACCATACAGCCATGCTTTTTGCATTTTTCACTT